AATAATGTTCTATATTATTAGATATTAGGTGACACCTCAGCCATGAAGACCACATGGCAGGTTCAGAGTTGTTGGTGCCTTGTGGAACTCCTACCTTGGTCACGGTCCTTCCCATTCTCCAGTGGTTACATCAGATTTCTATTCTCAAATCATCCCAAACGCACATTTTTATCTTTGCAAAGTAGACCTGATGTTTCCACTAACATACGCAATGTCATCAACAAGCTATCCCTTGTGGGAGCTTCAAATAAGAAGTGAAATATGAAGACTTTTGAGAGGGCCCAGATCTCCCTGAAAGGCCAGTGAGACCATGTCTGTTCAGCCAGAGAATAAGAGACTCAAGAAGGTTCATTGTAGTTTTCAAGCAATCAAAGGAATTAAAAAAAAAAAAAGTCAGTTTCATTTTCACTGAGAAGAGGTATAAAAGGAAAAGGTTTATATTAAGGCAAAAGAATTCAGCCTACAGAGAAATTGGCAAGGACTCCCTGCCTAAAGAAAGACATAGCAAGGGGAACTATTTCTCCAGAGGCTTTGAAGGGAAAGGCCAACAAGTCGCGTTTGTGAATTGCTTAAAAGTAGGCACAGATTCACCCACGTACAAGATGATGTCCTTTCCTACACGAAGAGTCCCAAACAGCTATAGCATTTTTATGACTTCTTTTGCTTTCATGCTGAGAAAGTCTTTCACCCACCCAACATCAGATAAATATCAACTGTATTTTAGATTTGCATTTTTTACATTTAATTCTCAATTCAGCTGAAATTTATCCTGATGAACGGTATGAGAAAGGTCTTCATTTTTTTCCTAAAAGTTTTTTCAGTTATCCTAGTGATTACTAGTGTATTTATAAATAGCTTAGGTATTTTGTTATAGCCAAGGAATATCTAGGCATTTCCCTAAATTTCCATCATTAAGGAGTACCTAACCCCACTTTACTCCGACAATCTTGATATAACAGTAATCATTTTATTTGGAGGTGATTCAACATCCTTATCTTGGCCCATCTACATCTTCAAAAGCTCCAGCCATAAACCCTGGGCTCTGAGATCAGAGAGCACCACCAGCAAGAACTTTGGACTAACATGGGCAAGAACCCTCTGTCTGGACAAGCATACCAATTAGGCACTCTCTGAAAAAAAGAATTATTTTCCCTTAAGAATTACCGTGGGATGAGGACCCTGAGATAACCTGAAGAACATAAGAGCAAGAGGTAATAAGGCAAAGATGGCACAAGGCTCCAAGAAGTCGTTAGAAAAAAGAACCAAAGAATGGAAAGTCTACCCTTATAGATGTTTCCAGGTTAAAAAACCTAGAAGAAGATCTCAACTATTTAGTTGGATAATCCAGTGTACAATCAACCTAGTGAATTTCAATGGCATTTTCTTAACTTCACATTTAGCAAGTAGGGAGCAGCAAAGAGCTACTCAGTTTCCCAGCTGCCTAGCAAATAAACCAGGAGCCAGAAGCTCAACTGCCTGAAGGAGCAGACAAAAGGAATAAATGAGCAAAGGGAGTCATGTGAACTGGGCTTGAGAGTCTGAGAAGCAGTGGGAAGCATCTTGGAGATCACGTCTCTGGGACACTTGCTCCTTCTAGTGGTGGCTGTAGCTACAGAGACGCAGCAGTCTGTGCCCAGGAAAATTCAAGCCCAGAACTGCCAGATATGCCAGTTTTTCTCTTCACAGAGTCACAAATTCTTATGTGAGTTTCCTGTTTCTCAAGTTTGTCAATTAATTACATTTTCTTTTTAAAACACAGAGGTCAAGGGGCGCCTGGGTGGCTCAGTCGTTAAGCGTCTGCCTTCGGCTCGGGTCATGATCCCAGGGTCCTGGGATCGAGCCCCGCATCGGGCTCCCTGTTCCACAGGAGGCCTGCTTCTCCCTCTCCCACTCCCCCTGCTTGTGTTCCTGCTCTCGCTATGTCTCTCTCTGTTAAATAAATAAAATCTTTAAAAAAAAAAAAAAAAACCACAGAGGTCAAACCAGATGTATCTATCAGTCAGATTTGGCCCAGAGGTCACTAGTGTGAGAACTTAGATTATAACATTATACAACCCACAAGTCACCCAACTGTCCAAACACCATCCCCTGCCCTTCTGTGCTTCCTTTGGGTCTCCCTTTTTCCTTGATATGACAAATTATGGCAAGCTACACAGCTCACTGGGTTCTAGGGTACGTGCAGAGTGTGAGTGAAAGATGCCAGACCATCTCATTCACCCCATTTAAGAGTCAGCCAAATTCTGGTCTTAATAAGAAACTGCCATTCTGGGAATGAAGATGAGTTACTATACACAGTCATGCTGTTAGGTCAGACTGCTGACCCAAATTATTTTTTTCTATTGTAAGTGAAGAGTAAGTTCAAAAATATATTTTTTTCTTTAAGAACTCTTAGATGTTTTGCTTCACTATCAGTGACTAATGGCTCTCAAGGTCACAGGTTTTGCTGGCTTACCTCATTCTAGAAGTAAAGGAATAAACCTCAAAAAATTCATTAATTAAACTGAAAATCATTTCCACTGAAAATGCTGTAGAATTTTTAGCTTTTACACAAAGTAGACTGATTATCTACTTATTACTTACTTATCTGGTGGCATCCTACTGCAATCCAAGTAAGTCAAAAGGTTTTAAGAACTGAGTCAACCCCACAGAAATTCAACCTATGTGTCTGTCTTGTACATATCTATACCTATTACCTTTTACCACAGACTTTAACAGGATTGCTATACTAGATGATTTTTGTTAATCATATAATGATCAAATTATGATAATCTAGAAGAGAAATAGAACGTTTCTATTTCTTCTTTTACTACATAGGATCTAAAAATAATGGTTTTCAATGGAGAGTAAACATGTTCACTTGAGAAGGACTGATCAGGGAAGGTTAATAAATTTTGACTATCCGCACACATTATTTTTACTAATACCTAACTGCCATAAATTCTCCATTCTGTCTATCTTTCTCCACACTAAACCCTGTATAAGTAATACTATAGAGGGTAGCTGATTCTGACATCAATTTGGAAATAATCAGCTTTAATTCCTAGCTGAGATCAAAATGGACAATTGTGGTAGAAAAGACCAGTGATGTCATAAACACAGCTGATTCAAATAGGAATTTGTTTTCTAAAAAAAGTTCCAAGTACTTGTGTTTCCAAACCAGATCATTTTTACCATAGAACATGATAAAAATGGAAAATGAGAAGAAAACCTAAGAAGTAATTTTTAATCCAGTCTTTAGGGGCACCTGGGTGGCTCAGTTGGTTAAGTGTCCAACTCTTGATTTCAGCTCAGGTCATGATCTCAGGGTTGTGCAATCGAGCCCCACATCGGGCTCTGAGCTCAGAGCAGAGTCTTCTTAAGACTCTCTCTCTCTCCCTCCCTCTGTCCCTCCCCCTACTCGCACTCTCTCTCGCTCTCTGTCTCTAAAACAAATAAATAAATTTAAAAAATAAAATCTTTAGAATTCTTATTTTACCAGGGGCACAATGGCAGTAAGTGGCTAAAATGAGAATCGGCTCAATGAGTCCATATTTATATTAAACAGCAGCAAGTATTCATCATTAGGTATGACGTTCCAAAGGACAGAAGCCCTCGGTCCTCTTTGGTTGAACACAAAATACCAAGACGACCCAGTGGTCTCAAGCCCCAGTAACAGGCCTAATCCTTTCATCTGTTCCCAATATTAATCTCTCTAAAAACACACTCATTCTTATGCACATGATTTACAGTAGTTGTGTTTTGTTTCTTATTATCAGAAAACCTACAGAATCTTAAAATTTAAAGTGCTGTACTATAAGATCAGGTAAATTATTCAAATATTGCTGATACTTTATTTTGTGAGGATACTATGACAGCATCTATTCTTTCTAAGAAGAAAGTAAGATGAGGAGAAAAGGAAGAGAAAGGAAGGCAGCTATGCTCACCACTATACCACCAACGTGAAAAGGAAGAGAAAGGAAGGGAAAGATGGTTAAAGCCTACAGGACTCAGGAACAAGAGTATGCAAGTTCCCACAAATTTACATAACAGAGCATGATACCAACACAATGATTCGGTCCATTAAAGCAAACGTTTTGCCAATAAAGCAAAAATATTTATTGAACAATCACAATAGCAACAGGAAAATCTGATACCCAAGAAGAAAGGAACAATATAAAAAAGACCTAGCAATAACGTGGATAGTTTTTCCTTTCTACCCTGCTTTTTTGACACTAAATTCTGAAGAACAGATCTATGTGAAAGAATAGGAACAAGTTTCAGAGAATGATAAAGTTGCTATACTTATTTGTCATGTCAAAATAAATAGTCCTACAAAAACCTGTTCCTTCTATGAAAAAAAAAAAAGAAATTAGATTTCTAAATGAAAATACATCTCCCATACTTGACTGTTCATGAAAGGCATATCCAGAGTAGAAGATTTACTCTGAACAGTAAATGTCAAATTTACATTCTTCTCTACCACAGAAGTTGTACTTTTTTGTACAAAAACGACACACAGTATATTACTCTTTCTTAAGAAGTAAAAACTATTGGTCCTTGCTTTGAGTTTCCTAACAGAGCTTAACCATTTTCTTTTCCTCCTTCATAGAGCAGGACTGAAACCAGGCAAGCACCTCACCAGTTTTTATTTCCAAAATGCCATGGAGGGGCGCCTGGGTGGCTCAGTCGGTTAAGCATCTGCCTTCAGCTCAGGTCATGATCCCAGGGTCCAGGGATTGAGCTCCATGTCCATCCATCCCTTGTTGCCATCATCATCATCATCATCATCAGGCTCCCACTTCAGCAAAGAGCCTGCTTCTCCCTCTGCCCCTCCCCCCACTCACGCTTGCTCTCTCTCTTGTGCTTTCTGTCTGTCTCTCTCTCTCAAATAAATAAATAAAATCTTTAAAACAAAAACAAATATGCTACGGAGGTTTGACTACTGGAAGTCTCAAGACAGTAGAAAATGAAATGATTCAATGTCAATAACACAGGCATGTGCTCATTATATCCCAACTTACCTAATACACTTACAAAGGCATCAAAAAGATGAAAAGTTAGTAGAGGCTCTTTCAAGTGACCATAGTAATCCGCTATAGTTTTAAAGACATCTTTTTCAAATCCTAAATACATAGGCTGCTTCAAATCTGAACAATTAGGCCCTGTTAAAAAAAAAAAGAGAGAGAGAGAGAGAAAAAAAACATTAATGGGACGATCATGTCTAAGGATTAGTCTCTATGTATATGTACGGTGTGTACAGATATCAAGATCAGGTAAATTTTCATGGGGAAAACTGACATTATATAAATTGACATTATACATTTGCTGACACAAATATCCTTTATGGCTAAATCAAAATCTATTAAAAAACAATGAGGAAAATCACTGGCTTACTTGCTTTTTAAAAGGAACCCACTCTTTCTCTTACATCCTTCTGAAAGGCATTTTTGTTAAATGTAGACAATGATTATTTTCTGTGAAATATTCAATGTTTTCCTAGTCTTGACACAGTTGACCAAGATGACAATTAGCTCACATATGTAACAGACAAGTTATAAAGCAATTTGCAAAGCTTTTCATTATTTTATCATTGCTACATTATGAAATCCTAGAGTCAGAGCTGAGTTAATCAAATTCTACCTCGAACTAAACTACTTCAGACTAGTTAAAACTTACACTCTTTTTCTTAAAGATATTCAAAAAAGGAAATTTTACATTGTGTCCTGTAATTCATTCTGACTATAAAACTCTCTATCTGATCCCCAGCCAACCTTCAAAAGACAGTGTTTCAAGCCGAGCATATTCCAAAGTTGGGGTAACTATAAGAAGCCTGGAACAATGTGGTCCCGGCCATACCCTAAGCAGAAGCAAGGCAAAGATCCAGTTGTATCTGGGACCAAAGAAGAACAGGAAGAAATGCTGAGCTCTCTACAGATGAGGCAGCAAATGCCCCCAAGAATCCACACACAGACCACAGATTTACATTGCCAAGTAGAGAGACAAACTGGAGCTGCCCATGTCTTGAGGGAAATGGCAAGTAGCCTCATGAGGAACAGTTTTGGCCAGTCCTTCAATTCCCACGAGAGCACGGAAGAAAGGAGTGCGAGTGCACTGGCCAGTTCTGGGCCAGCAGAACACAAGACTAAAAAACTAGACCCAAACAGATCTCTATCCTCAGGGGAATAAAAGATAAAACCAGTAGAAGTTGAAAGAAACCCTTCCTCCAGAATCACTGCAACTAAAGAGAAAGGATCAAACCAAAAAAAAAACAAAACCCAGTTAAACATTCTGAGCCTTTACATTTCAAGGCCAATGGGACCACATGAAAATGGCTTCTGTTGGTCTCCTTAAAAACCCTCTTACCTTTTAATATTCTGTATACTTCTCATAAAATAACTTAATTTGATTGACTAAAATAATGAAAATCACGAAAGACCTACATGCGGTCCCGTGTTAACCTAGCAACCAACAGAGCCGCCATTCTTGCCTGCTTCCTCCTCTGCAATACCCCAAGCTTAGTCAACTGAAATCATTTGTTTGGTATGTCTCAGCAGTGGGCCCTATGAGAGGAGGTCGTATTCCTAAGACATTTTTTTCGCAATCATTTTGAACTTCAGAATGTCTTTTTTTTTTTTGCATTTTTTTATTTCGTTATGTTAATCACCATACATTACATCATTAGTTTTTGATGTAGTGTTCCATGATTCATTGTTTGTGCATAACACCCAGTGCTCCATGCAGAACATGGCCTCTTTAATACCCACCACCAGGCTAACCCAGCCCCCTACCCCCCTCCCCTCTAGAACCCTCAGTTTGTTTTTCAGAGTCCATAGTCTCTCATGGTTCATCTCCCCCTCCAATTCCCCCCCTTCATTTTTCCCTTCCTACTATCTTCTTTTTTTTAACATATAATATATTATTTGTTTCAGAGGTACAGGCCTGATGTTATTCCCGACTGATATTGGAAAAGTTTTGCCTGTATCTGTTTTTTTTTCCTTTATTTAATCCTTATAACCTACATGCACAAAGAAGAAAAACACAGTTAACCTGTTTTTGTATTTACTATTCCAGTTATTCTACTATTCTTTTTTTTATTATTTTACTATGTTATGTTAATCACCATACATTACATCATTAGTTTTTGATGTAGTGTTCCATGATTCATTGTTTGCATATAACACCCAGTGCTCCATGCAGAACGTGCCCTCGTTAATACCCATCACCAAGCTAACCCATCCCCCCACCCCCATCCCCTCTAGAACCCTTAGTTTGTTTCTCAGAGTCCGTAGTCTCTCATGGTTCATCTCCCCCTCCAATTTCCCCCCTTCATTTTTCCCTTCCTACTATCTTTTTTTTTTTTTTTAACATATAATGTATTATTTGTTTTAGAGGTAAAGGTCTGTGATTCATCAGTCTTACACAATTCACAGGGGTCACCATAACACATACCCTCCCCAATGTCTATCACCCAGCCACCCCATCCTTTGTGGCTTTATGTTTACTATTCCCTTGAGGGAAAAATTGTACTCTTCACTACATTTTGATCATCACTGAAAAATCGATATCACAACCACACCTTAATATACATTACAGAACATATTGTAGCCTAGATTTGTTTTACCAGCTTCCTCTATTATTTCCCAGCTGATCAACTTCCAAATCCTTGGTTTGCCAAGAATTCAGAAATGGGTAATTTAGCTTCGCATTTATACCTTCTATCTCATCATTGCCAACTCTGGCCAAAGATATAATTTAAATTTAATTTACTTCAAACGGTTGAGCAGGAAGAATAAAAAGCACTCTCCCAAGCTGAAACCACTCTACATCTCAGAGGTTCCAAAATATTAACCAAAAACCAATGAAAATTTAATAGTTAAACACAGAAAACTTTAGGCTTCACACAAGCTAATAATTGGTATTCACATTTAAAATGATAGTATATAATCATTGTCCATATATTATGACTGAGATTACCTACAATAAACTGCATAGCTACCTTAATTTCATTCTATAATCAGACAAAACTAACACCAGTTAAATAAATCATTCAGAGTCTACTAATTCAAAATTTTCTTATACCTATATCTGTACTCGCTAGCCCTACCCCAAAGGTACCTTTCTGAGGCCATCTGTGAGGCTTAAAGGCCCCATAGACCAAATATCACCATTGTTTTTTAGTATATATGCTGCCGAAGCAAGCACTCACCATTGTTAGTCAACCAAAATAACTAGAATTCTTCTCATTAAAATCACTTGTTTGGGTTAAGCCATTAACCATTATAATCCCTTCTTTGGGTAAAACCTTCCAAAAAATCCCCAGAAAAATAGCAGTGTTAGTGAGATACTATAATAACACATTCTTTACAGTGCCTGTGATATCCAATGAAGTGAATATCTATGCTGTGAAATGGACTGCATAAGCCTATGCAAATCCTCAGAAGGACCACCACGACCCAGGCCCTGTCATCTTACATCCAATAACTGAAATACCCCTTCTTGTTTCTCCACACGGAAGTTCTCCTTCCAAACCATCCTGCTTATCAGTCAGACTAGTCTTCTAAAACATTTTTTCCCCCTTAAACCGGTGCCCTATAAAAAGCTAATAGTAGACAGGATCTGCTGAGCAAATTGAGATGTAAATACAGGGCATACTTAGGAATATGTGTTTTAGAAATAAAAATAGAGGTTTTAAAAATAAAAATGTATAAACTGTCAATAGGCCACATCTGCACAATATTATATTCAATATAAATAATTTTCCTTCACTGTGATGAAACAGTCAGAAAAAGTAGTATGGATTTTATCTGTAGTGTGATTATATCCACCAGAAAAGAGAAACACAACATTTCTTCAAAAATGTTCTATAACTCAGCCCCTTCACCAAGTCGCAAATTCATCACTAAAAGCACACTGGTCCCAAAATAATTACCTGCTAGTCTCACAGGTGTCAAATCAGTGTTCAGGCCATTGAACAAAAATATTTTCTAATTCAGGGCACTAATTTCTGTTAATCTTATAAAACTGGGGGATAATTAGTACTTACAATTTGCCAAACACTTCATAGCTGACAGTACCCAATGAGGAAGCTCTTCTGCAGAGAAACGAAAATAAAGAAGATATTTGATTCAGCTGCATATAACGCAAGGAATTACATACATACATAGAATCATAAGAATGTATAACCTGCCCAAATAATATGAAACATACCTGCCAATCATAATCATAAATCACACATCACCTATTAATAGAACGGCATGTTTAAACACTGGAAAACTTTCCTAGGAGCAGTGTCACAACATGAGCTTGTACAGGTCATGCCTGCAAATTTCTCAAAGGACAAGATGCACCTTTTAAAGCTTTGGTGAAAAGCAGAAATTTGGTTTATTCCAAAGAAACAAACTAACTGATCAGTTACCCTAAGAATTAAGGAAAAGGCAGAAAAAGTAAAAATATTAGTTACCAACTATATTTGTGAATTCAGTTCACCAACCCCCCCCCAAAAAGGGGGTAAATTCTCTATGTCTATTGTCCAATATAAGTATCATTTTGCATGTTTCAATTTTCAAAATGTTTCAGGGCAAGAAAGTTCCAATGATATACTAATATAGGCTATTAGTTTTTGGACAGCCTTAAAATAATAACTGTTAACATTGCTACAAGAAATCCGAGCTTAGCCTTTTTCCCAAAGTTCCTCCCCTCCTGGCCCTGACACAGACATCTGATGAGATGGACCTGCACTCATGCTTCTGCTTCTCCATCTTCTTCACTTTGTGAAAAACTGCAAAGACACTAATCGAACTGTATTAGCTCTAATGAACCTGAGGCTTGTGGAAGTGTTCTTCTTTCTAAGAACTTGGTAAGACAAAAGATGACCGATGATCTAATTAGTAGGTAAAAGTATTTGTTTGTTTGTTCTTTTTTAAGATTTTATTTATTTGACAGAGAGAGAGAGCACAAGTAGGCAAAGTGGCAGGCAGATGGAGAGGGAGAAGCAGGCTCTCCGCTGGGCAGGGAGCCGGATGTGGGGCTCGATCCCAAGACCCCAGGATCATGACCTGAGCCGAAGGCAGCCGCTTAACAGACTGAGCCACCCAGGCGCCCCAGTAGGTAAAAGTATTAATGTTTGCTCTACTCAAAGAATGTGGAAGGATTTTAGACGTATTTCAAAGGCAATAGCCCCATCATTCTATGTAATTTAATCGTATAGGTTGATAATAACCTAACAACTCACGAAGTCACAAATTTATTTGTTTCCTGATACCATCCATTCCCAATACAGAGGCTACATAAAAGAGGAGGTGTCTCAAGTTTCAAAGACACATTCTGCTCCTGTCAGGAATTGGGACCTAGAAAAACCTCTTTCCCTCTCACACTGCTCAGGCTCCTTCGGGTAGAGTTCTATCTTGCTGCCCAGGAGTCCCCAGCCCTAAATTTAATAATAATTTATAAAAACCCAAAAGTACTACACCATCTTCCCACATCCAAATCTCATTCTAGTTCCAGCTATTCCCACAATCAAGGGTTGGAAGTAAAGAAAGAACCATTCAAAAAACCCATCCAATTCTGGCCCATCCCCAATTTAAGAGAAGAAAGATTTAAAATCAGTTTGGGGATTCTGGCCCACTACAGGTACCATGCCCTTATTTTTCCAAATAAAAAAACCCAGGATAGGCAGCTGCTAAATGTCTTTTTTTTCCTGACTTATAAACTGGCTTGGAAGAAAAGGAATAAAAAATTAAAGCACTTTCAGCATTTAAAGGCCTACCTTTATTAACAAGAAAAAAAAATGACATAAATCAAGACCATCCCAGAAAATCTACCACCGAGACACCATATGAAAAGGTCAGTGAGAACCTAAAATCAATCAGACCCACTTGAAACCTAAAATCAATCTCCAAGATCCAGTCAGTCACAAACTGACTCAAGCACTCAGTTAGGTCTTAAACTTACTTTTCAGGGATTTTTCTGTGAATAATACAGAACCACTTACTGCCCAGTGTGGCTAACACTGAACTAGCCTCTGGATGGATTGTGCTGAGGCTTTGACTCCTGGATGTTCACCTTTCCTTGACACCTCCTTAATCCACACAATTATTTAAAAGGCATGAGGAAATGAGACAAGGCTATACATAATGAGAAGGTACATTTATTGAGGGTTTAGGGAAGGATCAAAAAAGAAGCTGATGGACCTGCACAGCCAACACAGTGGGTCAAATGGGACCAGAATGGTTTTTATGGACTTACTTGACTTGTCATCAAGGATGACAACTCCCTGCTTGCTCACACTATACACATTATGGATGATGAACTTGGAGTTGACCAGTTTAATGTCTAAGACTTCTTCCAAAGAATCCAGGCCAAGGACTTTCTGTAAACTGGAAAGATATATGATAATTAAATTAATTACTTTTTAAAAAAATCAGTATTACCCAAAAACCTGGCATGTAAAATATCAATCTTTAGAAAGTCTTTTTTTTTTTTTTTTTTAAGATTTCATTTATTTATTTGACAGAGAGAGAGAGACAGCAAGAGAGGGAACACGAGCAGGGGGAGTGGGAAAAGGAGAAGGAGGCTTCCCGCTGAGCAGGGGGCCTGATGCGGGGCTCGATCCCCAGGACCCTGGGATCATGACCTGAGCCAAAGGCAGATGCTTAAAGACTGAGCCACCCAGGTGCCCCAAAAGATCAATCTTTAAAATGCGTTATTTTAAATAAAAATAAATAAATAAAATGCGCTGTCTTCATGCATTTTATCCAATCTTGGCAAAAAGGCTAGAAATTGAATATGATGAAACAAACTTAAAAGACCTTTTGGCCATTAACAGATTGGTTCACTAATTTAATACATAACACCCTGAATGCCAAGAAAATGATTTCATAGGTATAGATATTATAAAAACAAAACCCAGCTTATCCAATGATGAGAAACTGCTAATAGTATGTTTGTGAGGGAAAAAAAAACTGCTATATAACATCATTTACTTTAATTACCTGTAGTATGCCAAATATCTAGGAGACCAAATTTACCACTGTGTTTCATTAAACATAAAACTTCAGGATTACTAGAAAGTTGAAGAACTTTTAAATTTCTCTTCTTAACTATTATATAAATGACAACAGAAAATTTCCAGAATTCAATTGCAAACAATACAAAGTTCAGGTTTTAAGACGTAATTCCAGAAAATTCAATATGCAGAGAGTAGTAGAGAAGCAAAAGAGAAAACAGCGAAAGTGCTCATTAACGTCAAACGCACGTACTATGCTAATGTCATGGACTTCCATATCTCTTCTACGTTCGCCTCTGTCAGCTGCCTGCGGCAGACGAGACGGCAAGCCGGCACCTCTCCGATGGCGATGCTGTGCCGCTTGTACCACATCTCGGAGGTCTAGTTGGGCGGAGGGTCGAAGGAAAGAGAACAAATATTTCAACAGACAGTGATACGATTTTATCAGAAATGTCCTTGACTTGGTTATTTGTAATTTGATTTAAAATAATAACTAGGAATATGAACTCGTTTTCTTTGCACAGACTACAGAGAAGTCGAGTATAACCCTTCAGGATGAGGTCACATTATAAATGAGTATTCATAAATCACAAAAGAACGATGGCAATAAACATGACATTGACTATTTTTCCCCCTCTGGGAATTCCAACTAATCAATGAAGTAGCCATGAGATAAAATTCGGAATTAAAATTGTCAAAGAATACCTATCCATATTTACACACTGTCCAAATGGAGTAATTGTTTAAAACAAACTTAAAGTCTATTACTTCCAAGAGTTCTCTATTTTTTATAAGCAAAGATCAAATAAGTACAAAGTCAATGAGCAGCCCCCAGATCTTAGGCTACTGCAGAAAGCAGGAAAAACAAGAGCTCCACAGCATAATCATTTACAAATATATTCTATAAGAGTTTTTACAAAAGTATCTTTATAGAAAAAGCTAATACCCTTGGAAAAACAGAGCCAGAAATTTGTTTTGTGATTTTGTTTTTGGAGAATTATTGAATTACAAAAGAAAGTTAAAGACCATGTGGATTTGTGAATTTATTTAAAGTATCTAAATTAGGTGTTCATTTTTGAAGGCAGGCATATAAACTATTCCATTTGCCTAGCAAACCTACTTCCAAAAGTTATCTTAAGGAAATACCATGGGGGCACCTAGGTGGCTCAGTCAGTTAAGCGTCCAACTCTTGGTTTCAGCTCAGGTCATGATCTCAGGGTTGTGAGATCGAGCCCTGGATTGGGCTCCGCACTGGGCCTGAGATTCTCTCTCCTTCTCCCCCGCCTCATGCTCCCGCTCTCTCTCTCTCAATAAATAAATAAAATCTTAAAAAAAAAAAAAAGAAATAAAGACCATGGATATATTCAACCATTTATCTGTAAAGATATTGCTCATTACATTGTCTCCTAAAAAACTGGAAACACAGTATATATCTAACAGTAAAGGACTGGATAAATAAAATACATTACTTTCATATTAGACAAGATGCAGATATTAAAATATGATGTCAAATGTCTAATAACATGAAAAAATAAGCTAAGCACACTGTTCAAAGTGAAGAACACAGGCGATGAAAAGCTCAACAGGATCCCATTTTTGTGTTAAAAGTTTGTATGGAAAAAAGGATACACTAAAAAATGTTCATGTTAATTCTCTCTGGATGATATCATAAGTAATTTATTTTCCTTTGTCTCCACCTGAAAACAATTCTATTAAATAAATGAATAACAGCAACAATAATTAACAGTTACTGAACACCTGTGTGCCAGCCACCATTCTAAGCGCTTTATAGATATGAATTCACCTGATTCTCACAACAAGCCTGCCCCAGAGGGTACTATTATCATCCCAGTTTCACCATTAAGAAAACTGAGACACAAACACAATGAATAAAACAGAGAAACAAGCTCAAATAGCTAGTAAATGGAGGAGCCAAGATCCAAACCCAACACTCTGGCTCCAGAATCCAATATCTTACTTTCCACACTGTACTGCCCCTCAGCAAACACAACAGTTTTATTTTATTATTTTATTTTTTTATTTGTATAAACGGTGAAGCAAGAGAAAAGACAGGATAAAACAAAAACAAAAACCAACAAGCAAAGAGGAAGCAAAGATAGAAACAGGGAAAGTAAAATAGAAGAAATGAATGATGAGCTGAAGTTCTTCAAGAAAGATGAACTCTTTCTTTATTGACCATTAACCTCCTAATTCTAAAACCCACATCAAGGACCAAGTGGGGAAACAGATCCTGCTCTGCCATTCTTCCTTTGGACATTGCTCAAGAAGCGGCAGCCGAAGCTTTGCTGGAATTACAATGAGCAGGGAGCCCAAACCTCTCCCACTTCATTCAAGAGGGAAGTACAAGACACAGGTAGACGACAAAAGAAATGATAAGCTTTAGAAGAAAATGGTTGATGAATCTAGGACACTGGTATACCACTTCAGGGCTCCTGGAAAATTAGAAAATGAAAACAGAAGATACAAGTCATTGTCATTGGAGCATTAAAGTGTGCTAATGAGTACTTGGTTCTACAGATGACACCAGGAATATTACAACTTCATAGAACCAGGTGGAATAGAAAAGGGAAGTTACTATATTGATGACATACATACATATTAACTTAATACAGGATTTTATCTCTTTCGTACAAACAACACTAGATGACCTTATAAAGAAAAAAAATGCCTGTTGAATAACCACTCTACCAATGGGGCCATGTTAGATGTTGAATTGCAAATGTTCATAAAAAATGTCCCTGACATCATGGAGCTTACATTTTAACTTTCTCTGGGACAGGAACTATCAACTAGACCTTAAGTAAGTAAGTATTCCCCATTAGGAATAAATTAAAAGTCCTCAAATACCCAAAGTAGTTCCACTTTGTTTTCTAGTTCTCTATTTTTGTATTGTATGCTTCACTAGACTCTGAGCCTTTTTAGAGTTAAAACTGTATCTGTGGAGCTAATACAATGCATGGTACACAGCAGACACTCAATAAATGTTTGTTGAATGAATAAGTTAATGATCTTGCCTTTAAGTTCCGGGACCATTATCTCCATCTGCCTGTGAGATACGTCCATTTAAGACAGACCATGTTTACCACCAGACATATTTAAAACAAAATTCATCGTCATCCTGCAAACCTGCAAGCCCTATGGAGTCCCTATTTCTGTCACTGGCGCCACTGTTTTTCTTGAATTATCTTTGATAAAGCCTAAGCATCTTTTTTTTTTTTAAGATTTTATTTATTTGAGAGAGAGTGAGTGAGCATGAGCTGGGTAGGGAGGGGCAGAGAGGGAGAAGCAGACCCTCCACTGAGCAGGGAGCCCAACGCGGGGCTCGATCCCAGGACCCTGAGATCATGACCTGAGCCAAAGGCAGACGCTTAAACGACTGAGCCACCCAGGTGCCCAAAAGCCTAAGCTTCTTAACTATCATTCTCTTCAAACTGAAAATACAACCACTTTAGGAAAAAAAAGTTGCTTTTTCTTTTAATTAAATTGCCTAAAAATGTTTACATCACATCTTTGCAAATAAAAGCATGAATTGGACATCTATCAAACTAGATTAATTTAAAATACTGGTGTGGGTACAATTCTTAAAAACTGCCATATGAAAGTTTCTCTATTTTATTTTTTAGCATTACCTCAATCATGGTAGTCTTCTATGGGAATATTTTAAGGTAAAAGTACCCCCCAAAATTACTTTATTCTACATTAAGCTTAGGTTTCTCCAAACTAGCAGAATTTAACTGTTCATTTTTAGGGGTCATTCCACAATACTTCACACCCTAACCTTCTCACTCTCAACCGGTAATAATTAGAACAAAATTCAAGAAGATGCAAAGAGCGAGAAGAGTAACTTCTAATAGAAGCCAGTTTTTTTTTTTAAGATTTTATTTATTTATTTGACAGAGAGAGAGATAGCGAGAGCAGGAACACAAGTAGGGGGAGTGGGAGAGCGAGAAGCAGGCTTCCTGCCGAGCAGGGAGCCCGATGTGGGACACTCGATCCCAGGACCCTGGGATCATGACCTGAGCCGAAGGCAGACGTTTAACGACTGAGCCACCCAGGCGCCCGAGAAGAGTAACTTCTAGAACACAGGAGAAAAGAAGATTATGAGGGAGCTGCCACAGAAACCTGCTTGGTCTGACCCTATGAAAAATACCTACCATGTATTCAGTCAAAATGTCAGCAGGAAAGAGAGAAAAGGTCCAACAGCTAATCTTTCCTTGTTACTGTTCTGTCAGCTATTGACACATAAGATATTGTTTTCAAGTACTTTTGGACCATTGTTCATAGAAAGAAGTAGACTAAGGCTGGTGGTTCACAGACCATTTCCTACTTCTGGAGGCTGCTAGCCCCGCCCCCAGCCACCACCACGGCCACCACCCCACTCCACCCCCATCTCCCTGCCCAGCTTTTAGTAATACACTTACCATCACAACTGGCCTCACTGGGATGTTTTCTTGTGAAGTGCTTGGTGGGGGGTCATTCCATTCCGGAAATTTAATAACATCCTTTTGGTATGTAGGCTTCTTTGGATATGGTTTCAGGGGTGAGGAAGGAGGAAATCTAAAAACCAAGAAGGAAATCTCTATTACTGTAGTCAATGGGAGACACAGATATTTTAACAATAGTTCCCATTTCTTTTATCCTTGAGAATTTATATAATAATTCCAAACCTCAGATAATAAGGTCATGCTCAAATTATCACACGTGGCTCACTGTACCCAACATAAGCGTTTTTTCTTTTTTCTTTTTTTTTTTTTAAAGATTTTATTTATTTGACAGAGAGACACAGTGAGAGAGGGAACACAAGCAGGGGGAGCAGGAGAGGGAGAAGCAGGCTTCCCGCTGAGCAGGGAGCCCGATGTGGGGCTCGATCCCAGGACCCTGGGATCATGACCTGAGCCGAAGGCTCAACGACTGAGCCACCCAGGCGCCCCCATATGCATTTTTTCAATGTTCATTCATTACACCTATCACATAAACACAGGAACCAAACATGTGACAAATTATGAAATAAATAGAATATGTTCTCTTATCAAATGATTTTCACGATTATAGATGTTCTTAACAGGCTGCTAGGGCAAGCCATTTCTTTCACCCAGCTCACAATCCTTACTGCCTCACAACTCTCTCCAAAATTTATAGATGGTACATATGCAAACAGAAATTATGGACAGGGGGCGCCTGGGTGGCTCAGTCGTTACGCGTCTGCCTTCGGCTCAGGTCATGGTCCCAGGGTCCTGGGATCGAGCCCCGCATCGGGCTCCCTGCTCAGCGGGAAGCCTGCTTCTCCCTCTCCCACTCCCCCTGCTTGTGTTCCCTCTCTTGCTGTGTCTCTCTCTGTCAAATAAATAAATAAAATCTTAAAAAAAAAAAAAAAAGAAATTATGGACAGACTAATCCTCTGTGATACTTGCTGAGGAAGAGTATATTGGCACAAGAATCTTTTAGCCTTTTATATCTATTTCAAATACAATCCTCTTTCCCTTGAATATGGAACACTTCACAATGAGATGGAAGCCTCAGTCTTGGAGGAGGTGAGAGCTGCCCAATGTCCTTCTTCTGCCTTTTTATACCCTTCTCTACCCTACCTCTCCAAGGCCTTGGCACCATCACTTCTTGGACTAACACAGAGAAGCCTAAATACAATCTAATCTTTAAACTGTTCTAGACCACATCTGATAAAGAACAACAGAAAGGTAGTTAAATACACATTTTCCTCAGAGGATCTTTTTCTGTTAATTTGTTAGAAAAAGATAGATTGCACTGCCTTGAAAAAGTAACACAAGAACTCTCCTTCTTAATGTTGACATGAAAGTCAATAGGTAGTTTACTTTTTATTTATTTAAGCCAAAATAAAGGTTTAAAATCTTATCCATGATACCCACAGGAAAAATAATCCAAATAAATGATAAAGATCTTATTCTTAAATGCATACAGAAATAAATAACTTTTAAAATGTCTATAGTTTACAAAAAAAGTTTGTACTGAGGTGAATCAGGAGAATCACATATAATAAGCACTATGGAGGAACATTTCAAAAATAGTCACAATAGACTTGAAAAAGGATGGCTAATGAAGAGAAGTTGAGTTTCATCTTCTCTTAAAAGAATATCCAATAACTCCACTTTATTTGAAAAGTCAGTGAGAAAAAAATGAAATCATTAAATCAAGTTAAAGATAAATAAACTGAAAGACAGCTTAAATTTTTTAATCAAATTGCCAAGGCAGGTATTTCCAAACAATTCCAAAATACAAATTAAATAAATCTCTAAAGCCAGTAAAAGTTACTATACCTCTTAAGTGAAGGCTGGCTTACAGAAGTCCAATCCTATTTCCAAGAAGCCAACAATCACAACAGAAGCCCTACTGCCAACCAAAGTACAGCATGTATGCACACACTTGGGGACACACACTCTCTATCACATTCACATATAATTGTGCAAACATGTCCAGGGAAATCACAGGTCACCCATCCTTCAGCTCTTTAAAAATTCAACACCTTCCCTACCCCCAGCCCACCACTGATACCCACTGTTTACCCTCCCAACCCCTTCAACTAAAGTGTGAAAATTTGACCTAAGTTCCAGCCCTAATTCTCTCACGAACAGTCTATGTGTCCTCTGGAAAGTAACAGTGCCTCTAAGTCAAAGTTGGTTCATTTGTCAAATAAAGGGATTATATTGGATGACCCATAAATGTTCTCCTGGGTTCGAAATGTGTTTCCTGTATCCCCACACCCAGAAACAAGAAATACCTTCCCAAAACCAAAGTAGAAGTTCTTATGTGGAGAACTGTGATTGAAGAGATACCAGGGAGCCACGTTCTTCCTTCGCCCTGGGACGAGGAGGTCTCTGCCATAACGTGTGTAGCTATCCCTAGCCAGTGTGGGATCTTCACAGCAGTCCAGCCAGAGATGAAATGCAGAAGAGCTCCCCCTGATGGACTACTTTTACTGTGTGCCCTGAAAGTTTTCCGTGTCATTTTAATACTTTAATCACGTCATCTCAGGCTTCAAAGCCTGTCAGGAATGATCTCATCCAAATGTCACATTTTTTTTACTTACAGAAATGAAGGCCCAAAAGAGGAAAGCAACTTACGAAAAGCCTCCAACTAACTGGCCAAGAGAACAAACCATCTTGTACAAAAGATATACAAGCCCTTTAATAAGGACATTATAAAACTTTAATGAAAGACATTAATGAAGTAAATTGATAGAGAGATACAACATGTTGGTAAATAAGTAGACTCAATATCCATATTCAATAGTAAAACATCAACAACAGTATTCCTCATGGAGATATATACTTACAAAGAAATTCCAGTCAAGGGCACCTGGGTGGCTCAGTCAGTTAAGCGGCTGCCTTCAGCTCAGGTCATGATCCCGGAGTCCGGGGATCGAGTCCTGCATCCGGCTCCCTGCTCAGCGGGGAGCCTGCCTCTCCCTCTGACCCTCTCCCCTCTCATGCTGTTTCCCTCTCTCTCTCTCAAATAAATAAAATCTTTAAGAAATTCCAATCAAAATATAAAATTTTCTACGAAACATGATAAACTGATTGTAAAATTGATATGGAAATGCAAGAGGCCAAAAACAATGGAGACATTCTTAAAGAAGAAAAACAAAGTGAGGAGACTTGCCCTACCAGCCATCAAGGCTCATTCGATAATACGGTAGGGCAGCTCTGATGGCACGGACCGTGGATTCACACAGCCTCAGCATTGCTGACATTCTGGGCTGGATAATTCTCGTTGTGGGGGGAGCTGTCCTGTGCACTGCACATTGCTGGCAGCCTCCCTGGCCTCCATCCACTGGATGCTAATAGCACACCCTCCCAAGAGTGACCACCAAAAGTATTTCCAGACATTGTCACCTGCAAAATGGCTCCCAGGTGAAAAATCATGGGCCTAGAAGGACAATCGAAAACAAACATACACATTTCTTCAGAAACCTCATTTATGACAGAAAAGACATTACAGATCAATGAGAAAGTATGGACTGTTCAGTAAAGAGTTCTGGTCCGCCTGGCTATCCCCTGGGGAAACGTGAAATTGCATCCCTGCTGCAGAGCACGCTTCCAAAGATGCTTCACACGGGCACTTCCCATCGCCATGCTCCTCTGCAAGGGGTCTTGCCACTACCCTACCAAGAGCTAGCACGTGTTTCTCTCCTCTTTTGAGTCTGGGTGAGCCCTCTCCAACTGCTTTGGTAACTAGAAGATGGTAGGAGTGAGACTGTGCCGGGTCTGGGCACTAGCCCTTAACCGGCCTGGAATGCACTTCCTGCCTCTGAGAACTCCCACTCGGCTCATGAAGCTCCCTCTTAGAAACCAGCCATCATGTACAGAGGGGCCACGCCCCCGAGAGCAGCATGCTGAGACGCCTAAGCCACAAAAAGAGGCCATGGAAGATGAGACACTGCATGGAAGGAAACTGAGCTCAAGGAGCACCTCAGCTCCAGACCTGGGCGTGCAGAAGTCATCCCGGAGGTGGATGTTCTAGCTTCAGCAGGCCCAGGCAATGTCCAGCTAAGACGCCCCCTCAAATTCCTGACCCACAAAATTATGTAAAAATAACAAGGATTGCTTGTAGCACCATGTTTGCACCTAGTTTTGTTACACAACCACAGAGAAGCTGAACAGAAATGTGGGGCACTTCTATCAGGACAGGCAGTGAGTGGAGGCCGGAGAGCTCAGGAAGACTTGTTAGGGGAAGCCTGGAAGCGCTGTGAGGAAGTTGTGGTTGAAGGCTGTAGAAAAGATCTGTGTTGCACAGTGGCACCAATTTCAGTCAAAACTGTCCCCTGTCGAGACAAGGAAAACACAAAAGGAGGATCTGGAAAAGGGGTTTTCCAGGATGAATGCTGAAAATGCCAACTGGTTTCTTTTAGCCTCGATAACAAGGTATGGATAGACAGAGATAAACTAAAAAAGGACCACTTCAGTTTTTCACCAAAATCTAGAGGAAATACAAAGGAGCCATGACTTGATTCAAAAACAAAACTATTTCTCATTCCCAAATCTCAACCCCAACAAAAAGTTCTCAAAGTAAAAATGGCCTTACGACCAATATCAAATTCAAGATGTTTCTAGTAAAACATGGTCTGAGGGCAGTCACATGTAGCTATAAAAGACTTTCACTGAGGCGACTGGGTAGCTCAGTTGGTTAAGCAGCCAACTCTTGATTTTAGCTCAGCATGATCTCAGGGTCATGAGATCAAGCCCCACATCAGTCTCTGTGCTCAGCAGGGAGCCTACATGAGGATTCTCTCTCTCCCTCTGCCTCTGCTCTTCCCACCACTTACGTGTGTGCTCTCTCTGTCTAAAATAAATAAATAAATCTTAAAAAAATAAAAAAAGGAATACTCCTGCATGGAGCACTGGGTGTTACGCACAAACAATGAATCATGGAACACTACATCTAAAACTAATGATGTAATGTATGGGGATTAACATAAGAATAAAAAATAAATAAATAAAATTAAAAAAAAAAGGAATACTCATGAAAGAAATTGAGGAAGACACAAAGAAATGGAAAAATGTTCCATGCTCATGGACTGAAAGAAC